TGAGCAATCAGACGATTAAAATTATAATCCTAATTGTAGATTTTTATTTATAAAAATTTACTAACTGATGTATCAGCTAATGTGATTAAAAAGAAAATACTTCATATCCTCACCAGAGAGGTTGAGATTTATGGCTATTTTGTTTAAGCTAATATGAAATGACTTGCAAAATACATAAATTAGAGAATGGCTGTAGATTCTCATTTCTGAGAAAAAGGTATTCCATAAATTTTTATTTGTCAAATATAGTTGAAAAAATGAATAACAAGGTTAAGAAAAAAATTTCATAAATTATGGCGATCTCAAAAGAAGAATGAAGAAAGAGAACTAAACTATATTTGAATAATTCTTGATAATTCTCAGATTAGAGGATTTAAGATTAGAAATAATTTGGAAAAAAATTATATAAAATCTAATCAAATATATTCACAATTTAGACTGAGATAGAAGCTTAGGATAATTAAAATAATTCAATTCTTTTATTCATTCATTTATGATTGAACTTATATTTTATTTAAATAAAGAAAACGAATTTTATTATTTATTTAGAATAGATGGAAAATTGTATGTACAAATTTTTATTGAAATTAACAAATTAAAAATAATATGCACTATGATTTAGGTAAACTCTAACAAATAAATTTATAACGTTTTTATAAATATTTCTAAATCTTGATAATTTATAATAGATTCTTATGTTAAAATTCTTATTTGTAATTTTATAGACTAATAAAACATCCCAAAATTTTCGCTGAACTTTTTTAATCTGCATCAGGTCTGTTCTTTCAAAATTTCCTGTCAAAATATCAGAGAAATCTATAATTAATCTGAGAATTTTTGTTTTATGCTATTTATATGAAATAAGATTTTTCAACTAATCATTACTATTTGACATAAATTTTGATTAGGAATAGTCTACATAATTTAATAACTTAAAATCAAATATAAAAAAATAAAGAAGTCTTTTAAAAAATATATTTGATTCTCTTATGCTTAAAATTATTTCATAAATTTAAGAATTCAGTTAGTAATCTGTTAATTATAATATAAGTAAATACAGAAGCCTAAGTCTTTATTTTAGTGACTAATTATCTGAATTGAGTTTTAATCTTAATCTATCATAACCTATTTATTTAGAATATAAATTAACATTCTAAATATATTAACGCTAATAGCTTATGAACTAAAATTTATTGAAGTTCCAAAAATGCAAATTTAGCCATTTAAAACAATCAAATAAATAATTAATAATTTCATAAAGATTCTCAGATATTTTTTGGACATGTAATCCTTTTTACAATTTCATTTCCTTAAATGTTAAAACTTTTAAACTTTATTGAAATCAATTATTTAATCATAGCCTATTTATATAAAATTGGCATTTCCATCTATTAATACTTTAATTATTTATTTAAATCACTTATAAAAAATTGATTTAGAGAATTATAATATTATTTATTAAAAAAGAATTAATTAACTTTATTTATAAATAAACTGTTAATAATAATCTTTACTCTCCAAACCTTTGCGTGACTATAGTATACAAACTATTTCTTGTTAGATGAGATAATCATTCCCTTCATTTTTAATTTTGATAGCATCTTTAGAATATACAAAAATAAATTACTAAATATTTTATATTTAGATTGATTAAATTAGAACATAAAATCTTCTAGTAGTTTAATTAAAATTAAATTAAATGAAAGATATAGTATCATTTTTTTTTCTTTTATTTATTTGTAAATCATCACTGCAAGAGAACTTGAACCTAATCGGCCTTCTTTTTTGGTAAATAGCAGCTGTCTGGGATTCACCTTGCCGAGCGTAAACATGGGGTGAGAGTTACTCCATCGATAACTTGAAGCTCTCCATTAACCATCGAGGCTCCTCTCCCATTTATGGGCCATGCTATGCTCAGCCAAGAAGACCAGCTGAGCCTATACAAGCGGCACAGAATTAACCTTAAGCAATCTATATACCCAATAGTGGGTCCCTGATCTGATTTCACTATGATGTCATGTTAAGTTGACGATGCACCATTTCTCCAAAGTACTCATGCTACCCAAAGAGTAAAAATAGAAGCCAACCTTAAACTATATCTCCTTCCTCCCATATTAATAGCACCATGACAAAGTTTTTACCTCGAGTTAGACAGTTGGGGACCGGTCTTTTTTTGAGATCTCATGCTGCCTGGACTTTTAATTTGAGCCATGGACTCTTTTGAGGCTGGTGGGTATCAAAATAAAAATTAATTTTTTTTGTAGTTGTATTTATTTAGAAAGATAATAATCTAATTTAAATCTATCTCAATTAGTTAAAAAAATTGTACAGAATGTTAGTTGGGATTAACTTACTTTTAATTTTTCAAATTTCAGCATATAGACTTGATTTTTACAAAAAATTATATAATTTAATACGGATGTCCTCATTTTAACGCATTTTAATAAATAAGTTAGAAGATAAAATTACATCTTTCTCTTTTTATGCTTAATTATGGAGATAAAGGGTCAGCAATTTATTCCAATAAATAATTATTGTGATTATTAATTGTAACTTTTAAAAAATACAATTGTAAAATTTACTTGGTAAATTGCGAAATCAACAAATTAATAATAATGTTGCATAAGGAAGTGGAATCTTCTTTTATAGAGGTAATTAATTAAATCAAGAAAATTTTGAAAAATCACTTAATATATTTAATTTCTGCAATATCATAAACTAATGATGTAGTAGAAATTCCTCATCTTTCATCATTATCAATAAATAATTAAGAAATGATTTCAGAGGAAATCAAATTTGAGAATATTACATCAAATATTTTGTAATTAAAAAAGTGCAAAATTATAGAATAAGGTAAAATCAAATTTCCTTAAATTTTTTATGATTCTAAACAATTAAATAATTTAAAATTATAAAGTACTTAATCCTTTAAATTATACTTATTTAACTTTTATAGATAAATTAAATCATCTATATTAATATTTAATTATATAAATTTTTTGTATTAACGTCTACCCACTTGTATATTTAGAAACTTATCTTAATATGATACAAATTATTTGAGTATTGTAAAGAAGATTTCTGTACCAAAAGTTATAATATATTTTTGAAAAATAAGTGATTTAAATTAGAAAAGAAAAAATGCGATTGAAATAATAACCATTCCATTAGAGATCAATAATTTTTATGAATAAAAATACCATAATAAATATGTTGATGAGTTATCACTTTTAATTTGTTTGTAATACTTAAAGGGAATTCCTATAAAGAAGAATAAATTTATGAAATAGCTCTTAATGAGTATATTACGACAATGATTGTAAGAAAAGATTAAGCTCATAAAAGTATTTAAGTTTGAATTTAAATAATTTAAATCTCTTCAGTGCCTAAATTAACATAAAAAGATAGTGGAATGCATTTCATGAATAAATCATCAAGTTTATTTTAAGAGAATAAGTAATTACTTAAAATATATCCAAACTAGTTAATGGGATTAAGTTTAAGCTTCAATAAGGATTCATATTTACATTTTAGCCTTGCAATTAGAAATTGCTATTAAAGAAAAGATGTAAGCAGATAATTATAACATTTTTGACCAAATGAGATTATTTGATTAATAAACTTAATCTAATTATGATCTTTTCATAAATTATTTTTTATCATTTTGCCATGCTTTAAAAATTACTTAAATAGATATTTAACAATGCTTTTTGTCTTGACTAAAATATTGAAGTCTCATTTTCATTTCCATGTTAATCCTTTTAACAATTAAAGATTTAATTTTGATTTAACATCAATTCTAATCTTCAAGGATCTAGTCAAACTGCTTCATTCCAAATATTATCTTTTGTCATATGAGAATTGCTGGTTGAATTCTTATTCTAAAAAGAATAAACAAGTTATTGGTAAACAATTTCTCTTCCTTCTTGAAAGAACCTTTCTATTGTACAAATAAATGAACTTCAATCTGAATCACTAAGAATCCATTAGAATTAAAAAATTTGATTACATGGAAAATGCCATAATGCTTTAAATAATATATATAATTGAAATAATCTATAAATATTGAACTTAGTTGTGAAAAAAAACTTTGATGAAATTATTTGTAAAGTCAAAAAATAATTAAATGATTTTTGGCATATTTTATTAATTTTAGGCGCTATTCTATTTTAATATCATAGATAATAAAAAGAAGAAAGAATTGATTATAATTTGAAATTTAGTAAATCCTTTTATCCAAAAAGTTCCTGAAGTTAGTTGATATGAACTAGTTTTATGAAATTATATAATAAGCAAGCATTTAACTATAGCTATAAGGTTGACTCACTCAGCTTTAACTAAAAAATTGATTATAATAATAAAAAGGTGCAATTTTTAATAAATTCATCATATACACATATATTTTATAAAATTTAAAAAAAATTGGCCTATTCAACCACTTCTCACTATTAAAACTTTCGTTAAAACCCAAATTTGAACTTTGAAATCAAAATATATGTTTCCATCATCTTTTAAATTTTTAAGCATCCCTTAATTATATTTATATTAAGAAAATTTATTACAATTTATATTTTCCTATATTCGATAAAATATAGATCATTATCCTAAAAGTACTTAAATCAAGAATACTCTAAATAAAATTTGAGAAAAATCCTTCAATTATAATTTTTATGATTTAATTGTATATTTTATTAATGAAGTTGCTAATGAAATTGTAGTGCAACTTGAATTTAACAGCATGAAAATAGTTCCAGTATTAATAAATTATATCCTAATAGTGTTGAGAATATAATGATTATAAATTTAGAACACATACAAAGACTTAATATTGTTAATTTGGAGAAATTAAAAATAAAACAACATTTTTATTTGAATAATTTGATTTTACAATTAGCCTATTTTCTTTAACTAAAGTGCGATAACATGAATGAAACTTCTAAAATTGCTACTAACTAATTATAATACAAAGGAGGATATTGGAGGGCCTATTTTTATATAAACAAAAACCAATTTACTCTACAAAAAATATCAGTTATTTAAAATAATATTTATAATTTACAATAAGTTTTAACTTCTTGTCCCATAAGAATTGAATAATAGAGTATGTTTGGTTTTGTTTATTCTCAAATATTTTTATAGGAAATTATATCATATTACCATCCTTCATTTAAATCAATATAAGTGAAAGATTTAGAAGGAATATATAATATTTAATTTAAGCATCCATTCTCGTCATATGAATCACAACCATTTGGGCATTTTTCTATGAATAATTACAGTTCTACAATTCCCCAAAATAATGTCTCACCTGTAATTATTATTTAGGCAGTTGGGTTTTAATGATAAGCATATAAATCCACTGGAGAAGCTTTATCATATAAAGATGTGCTTCCACAGAAGTGTATATAAAATAATAAATTATGCTTTCGAATATTACCTACATAAACTTTCAATCGATGTCCATTCCAGTACTTAATACTATTAATATTTGTTAATATTGAACCTCCAAAACAAAAATGTTAATCTAAATTTACAATGTGACTCAGCTCAAAGGTTTTGATATAAAAGAAATTTCTCGAAACTAAAATTTAATCTAAATAAATAATTTTGTAAGCTTTAAACCTATGATTTCTTTTTTTCGAAACTTCTTTTATAAAAGAATTGCTTTGTCTAGACCTCTATAGTTTATCCATAAAAAATTTTTTTTAAATTGGTGAGATCAGCCTCTCTTAATTTCAAAGCATTTTTAAATCTCAAATCGACTTGAACTTCAAATTCAAAATTTATTTTTTACCTTTATTTTAATAATTTTACAAACTCCTTTTAAATTCTTAATTTAAATAGAATCAAATTGAATATGCTATACAATCTAATTTAACTTGATTAAAAATTAAGAATAGTTAAGAATAGAATAGGATAATTCTACCTTCATATTCTTCTTTTAGAGAGAGATTTTTTTTCAATATAAAACTTATTTTCTAATAATTATTTTTTTCATCTCTCAGTTAAACTATATATTTGATTTAATTATTGAACAAAAGTATATAACTTAATATAGAGTTTCTCCCTATCCAACAATAGAATGATATAGGAAGTATTTTCTCAAAAAGATTTGAAAATAAAAGTTATATAATCATATATTATAAATTTGACATTATTTGTA